GAATTAACCACTCATTCTTCAGCAAGGCCTGGCTGTAAAAACTAAGAGGCTTGGTGCACAAAAAATTTGAAAGAGGTTAAATTACAGCATTACAACTAATGTAAAACAAGAAACTTTTGTGACATGAAACTTTCGCGAATTGATAAGGGCACATATGAAAAAATTGTTAGATTATCACTCCTGCGCACATTAACTATTTGGAAATATTGATGCGGTTATAAAAAAAAAAAACCACCCTCATCACATTTTTTTTTAAAGGAGTATTATTCTAATAATTCTTTCTATGTGCCCTAACACCTGAATTAATTCATGAGACACCATACTATAGATCATCTATGATGACAATATCGTATCATGAGTTCTAGGCTAGAAAACCCCAGGCATAAACCTGCCTATCTGCTAGGGTTTAGCTGGCCAGACAAGCTAATAATTACATGATAATTACAACCCTTATTAACATACGATATTAATAAATTCTGTATGGTACAGTATTTGAGAAATTTTTTTGCACATGAAAGTTTAGCTGGTTTTACAGTATTAAACACTTTGATTGTCTTAAATATGATTTTATTAAGGATGTGTTGAGTACTATTAATAAGAGTATCATCCTATAATTCAATATATATTTATAGAAGCTAAACAGATTGGGTTTTACGAATAATAAAGTAACAATTAGTACTTAGATCCACATATTAATCCTAAACATTGTTATGTTACATGGATATTATTTCATCAGTAGCTAAGGCGAGACTTCCTTTATACCTTGTTTCGCATACTTATTGTTCTAAAGATCATCGGAGGAGGGCAGAATAAAAATAAAGATAAAATTTAGTTTTTTTATTCAGCAAACAGTCTGCCTAAAACATCCAGACGGAGAAAAAAATAAATATACAATTGTATTGGTGAATGTAAAGTAGGATGATTAAATAATTAAAATTTATATAAATATGTATATCTTTGGAGATGTCAAGGCAGTGGAGGGCATAATTAAAATTTTAAAAAACTAATTTTTTACTGCAATTTCCTTTTTTTTTTGTGGTGGTGGGTGCGCTAATTGCTCAAAAATAAAATTTTATTTTCATTTTAAAAATATCAATATTTGCAGTTAGGCGTGTTCGATAAACAAGGTATAAAAAAAGTCTCGCCTGAACATTTGGTTTTTAGAATCTATTAACTTACCAATTTTGACAATCTTGAGCTTTTGAAACTTCTTAGTACTTTTTGATCGAGTTCAGATGAAGTCAGGAAACAAGGTTGTTAAGAATAGATTTAAATGTTGTTAAACAAGTTTCAAGGCTTGAAAATACTGTAAAATATTAATATAAATATGTTAAGTGAATTACCATGTAAATAAAACAAGATTATATAATAGCACCAAATTCCATCACATGAAGTAGTTGATGTATTTTGAAATTTTTGTTCTATGATAAGTTTAAATGAGGTGTTTTGTGCAAGTTTAAATAATGTAGTCTGTTAAGGTGACTCTCAGGCTGCACATCACAAATTCAGCACACTACTGTTACAGGTACACAAACAGTTATTCAAGCTGTGTATAATTACTTTGTTAAATATATTAATGAAAGTAGGTTTATCAAATCCAATTAAAATAAAAGAAAATAAAGTAAAAACAAAAAAATAACAAACATTATGCTTTAATTATATCTGTCATTAGCATAAATATTATGTCATGGAATTATGAAATCTAATTTTACGCGTACATCATCTAATCCTTACCATTGACCAACTTGTGACAAGTGATGAAATGGAATCCCAATCACATTATATATCTGTATATTACTATTCGCTTTAATAAAGTATTCACTTATTATTATTGTTTTCACAACAAAACTCACCAATTGTTTGCACAAGACCATCTTCAAGAACAGATCAAAATTATTATAATACCTCCATAGAAAGTACTGGTACGTTGGCAGGTAGCACATACTGCAGGACTGGTGATCTGATAATGGATATTGAATTTTAAGTTTTCGTGTCCATCTTCGCCAATACTTACACTAGCTCCATCAATAACGGCCTATGGATGCCATGTTTTTTTTTTTTTGTTTTTTGTTTTTTTTTACTCCTGACAAAAAAAAACAACATAAAGAAGAAATAAACAAAATGTTTAACTTCACAATTAAGATCGACAGTATACAGTAGGCTGCACAGAGATGTAGGCCTATACTGATATTAAATAAGGAAATGGATATATTTATGTCGTCGTAATCAAATCAGTAAACGATATATTTACGTAAATTAAACGACGCATGCGCAGTCATACTTTAACGACTAGCATTTTCAGCACTCGATATTAGCGTGGCCTCCCAAGCCGCGGTGATTCCCCCAAGTTCAGCATGGCACTAATTAATTTATAATTTTGTTTTTTATTTTTTTATTAAAAGTACTTTAATTTTCTACACTAGCACAGTATGTAGTTTAATCACTAAATAAATTATTAAATCAAGTGTTAAATTTTCAAATAAAAGTGATACTGTATTATGAGCTGGAAATTTCATCTTACTCAATCATTTGTTAAGTGAACACACTTGACCTAAATACAAGGCCTATGCCTTGATTAATATGGGCATACCCATGTTCAACTACCCAGGTATTTAGCAAGTGGGCCCCATGTAGATAAATATGGGCATGCCAATATGTATTTTCCCAGATATTTGGCACATGAAACCCATGTGGATTAAATTTGGGCATTCCCATAAGTATATGCCCAGTTATTTGGCATATGGGTCACATGGAAATTAAATATGGGCATGCCCATATGTAACTGCCCACATATTTGGCACATGGGCTCCATTTGGATTAAATATGGGCTTCCAATATTTACTTGCCCATGTATTGGGCATATGGGTCCCATGTATATTATATGTGGGCATGCCCATAAGTATTTTCCCAGATATTTGGCACATGGGCCCAATACGAAATTAATATGGGCATACCCATATTCAACTACCCAGGTCTTCGGCATGTGGGCCCCATGTAGATAAATATGGGCATGCCCATATGTATTTTCCCAGATATTTGGCACATGGGCCCCATACGGATTAAATGTAGGCATTTCCATATTTATCTGCCCAGGTATTTACCATATGGGGCCCTTGTACTTTAAATATGGGCATTCCCATATATATTTGCCTATATATTTGGCATATGGGCTCCATATGGGTAAACCATGGGCAAGGCCCATATGTGATTGCCCAGACGGATCCCATAAGGAAAAAATATGGGGTAGCCCATAAGACTTTTCCCAGATATTTTGCATATGGGCCCCATGTGGGATTGTTACCTGGGTATTCATATGGTCGTGGTAGAGGCGGTAACCATGGATACGGTAGTCGCGGTGGACGCGATAGAAATCACAATAGCTTGGTTCGCATCGGTTAATTGTCGACATAAGTAGATAAACTATTGAACAGCGCTACACTCCTAATTGCGTTCGATGGTCCGATTATGTCGAGATACCTTGCTGGACCAACTACGACCAAACAGGAAGTACAATTGCATCGTGGGCAATGTTTTTTTTTTTTTTCGCGGGAGCCGATCAGCCATCATAACCTTTTCTCCACTTACATGCGGTTGACAATCTATAATAGTGCTGTGTTGTGAAAAGAATTTCGTTCAGTGCATGGTAATGGGGGAAAGACGCTTTACTGGGATCGTCGGATATTGTAGTACCCTTTCCAGTCCCCCGAATGTAGACGTCCCGAATAGCTTTAAATTCAGCTCGTAAGTTTTTCAACTTGGTCAGGAGAGCGGCGGTTGTGATCCCGGTGTGATCACGCATTCGTACAGCCATTTGCTCATGAATGGTAGCTTTTTGTCTGTACAGTTTATCTTCCACCTTTTCACATACCTCTGGTTCCTTCCAAATGTCAATAAGATCGCATTCTTCTTCATAAGTCCAACAATGTCGCTTTTGGCGTACCTTCTCGGTCATAATTGATATAAAGATCTAAGCTAGGCCTACACTGAAAAACCTTCTCTCTCGAACGGTCAAAATAAACTAACAAACGAGTAGTACTAAAGTGCGAGGCAGCGAGGCAAAACGACGATTCATGCGAGGCATCGTTTTGCCATTGCCAAAAGTGAGAGGCATAACAACGATTCATGCGAGGCATCGTTTTACATCGAAATATGTGCAGAGAACAACGAAAATCCAATGTAAAAGTAATTATGCGTGATATTCATTGTCAAATTTGCTACTTAATTTGGTTTGCTACCACAGTGGATTTATTTTTCTCCGTCTAGGCCTAGGCTATATAGTCAGTAAAGTCGCTGATCACAGGGGCGGATCCACGATCTGCTGCATTATTTTTTATTCCCATACAATTAGGCAGAAATTATAGTGGGCGCTATTTAAGGTCAGTTTAGTGATCGTATTATCGTAGTAGAGAAATAATTACAGCAAGCAAGACCTAAATTAATAATTACCAATTAAATGAAAGCCGGAAGTCAACCGGCTTCGTTCTGATTGGTGTATTCGTGACCTGAGGCCACCCGTGGTGCGTTATCAACTCGACGATGACTGGATTTACAAGTTAGTCGAGCTAACAGCCATCGTCGAGTTATGAACTTTATCTCGCCGTAATTGACCGTTCACGTCGAAACTATTGTCGACATCAATAGACCGTGGGTTGAGGATCGAAAACGTTCAATTCTGTGACCCACCAATCCGGGCTACCTGGCTTTTGCACAAAAATGTCAATACTATTAAATTGTAACATAATTTGATTGTCGGCAATCGTGAATTTGGGGAAACTGTAACCCAAAATGAGAATTTATATCAAAAGTTGCTACGTAACTATAGCCAATCAGAAGACGACTAACAATGAAGTTTGGCTTAGCTGCAAGGCCCTCAGCCAATCACAAACTACCTTCTATGCCGTTTGTCCAATGCAAATGGTAAACAACACACTCCACTTGCAAGTATGGCGTTGGCCAGAAGTTCTTCAAATGATAAATCTGAGCCGGTTTCAGGCATATTTTTCTGATAAGAACCTAGAGTATGGTTGTGTCATTAAGCGTAAACAGCTTAAAAGAAATTTAAGGATGTGCAACTCTGTGGAAAACAACAAATACGAGTCCTCAGTAAGGTCTATTAAGTTTCCGTCGAAGCTGATGAATATCCTACATATATAACGAAGGGGATCTCAGGGATGGTGGAGCAAGTAGTAGTAGTCAAAATTGTACCAAATCTGTTTATAAAGGTACGTGTGTGGTTACATATAACGTTAAAAATGGTATGGTATGTTTTACTTAATTGAGAAGCACTAAGCGTCTCTCTATCACAGCTACATCAAGCTAGCCAACAATCTGCCAGCCAACAACAAGCCAGCCCACAATTCCAGCCAA